CCAGTGGCCGTAGTGTTGTGGCTGGTTTCTCTTCGGGCTTCATGGTGCTCCTGGACACCCGCACAGGTCTGGTTCTGCGAGGCTGGCCAGCTCATGAAGGGGACATTCTACAGATCAAGGTGATGGGCTTCGTCCTCTTGCCTACTGCCCTGTCTAACTCCAACCCCTTATCTCTGCTTTAGGCCCTTAGCGGTGGGGGAGGCATAGACACATGACAGGCTTGCATTGGTGTCCCTCACACCTGCTCAGGGACTGATGGGCAGAGAGGTTGGTCTTCCTCTGCCAACTCAGGAGCCAGGTGTACTGTAGGGGCCTCGCAGAAGGCAGGCAGGGGGCAGGAGCCAAGGGCAGAGTTGACCCTGCTGTTCCATGGAGATGTTCTAATGAGTAACCCTTGTCCATATTTGTCTTGCTTGGAGGATCAGGGGTCGGGCCCTGTCCATGACCCAGTTCAGGTTAAATAAAGCTCAGCTGGGAAGCTGTTTACTGCCCCCAAACTGCTGAGCAGAGTCCATGCCTTCTGCTGGGATGCCCTGGTTTGGGGGTGGGGAGACAGGAGAGGGTCTGGGCAGGGGGAACCAGTTCCTACTCCTCATTCTCAGTCATAGGCCTCAGGGAGGCACTCTGCAATGGCCCGGAGGGTTAATGCACAGTTTGGGTGCAGGTCGGGAAGCAGGCATTGCTACTACACAGGGTGGGTTGGCCCCCAGCTCCCTCTAGGCCCCAGAGACCCTGGGTTCCAAGTGTCTCTAAACAAATAAGGGTCAAGAAGTCTTGCGGTCAGCCTGGGTATTAGTGCTCGCCCTCCGAGATCTCGCTTCTCCGAGTCTCTGTTTTTTCTACTGAGAAATAGGAACAGTGGTAGCATCTACCTCATAGGGTCTTTCTGAAGATCAAATGTGGTGAGGGGGCAAGCATAGCACAGAGCAGTGATTTGGTTCATGACAATATTAATATTAACCGTAGTTAACATGACACGGCTGACTGGTGGCTACCCTTTCCTGTGTGATATAGGGGAAAATGGGAAGCGTTTGGGGCTTGGTGGGAGTTCAGGATGTCCAGGCCCCCACTGAGATTCTCTTCTCTCCAACCACTGACAGGCAGTGGAGGGCAGTGTCCTGGTCAGCTCTTCCTCTGACCACTCCTTGACCGTCTGGAAGGAGCTGGAGCAGAAGCCTACGCATCATTACAAGTCAGCATCTGACCCCATCCACACCTTCGACCTATATGGCAGCGAAGTGGTCACTGGTACTGTAGCCAACAAGATTGGCGTCTGCTCCCTGTTGGAGCCACCCTCTCAGGCTACTACAAAGCTCAGTTCTGAGAACTTCCGCGGCACACTCACCAGCCTGGCCTTGCTGCCCACTAAACGCCACCTTCTGCTGGGCTCAGACAATGGCGTCATCCGCCTGCTGGCATAGAGCTTGAGACCGAAGCTGGCTGGGCAGAGCAGGTTGACATCTCCTGGGAGTCCAGCTCCTTACTCTGATGCTGCAAAACATTCCTCCAGACAGGCCCAGGCCCCATGCCTTTGTGTCTACATGGCCTGCCTGCTAGGGCCCCCAGTTGGGGGTCCTAGTCCCTGAATCTCCCAAAGCCATGAGAGCTGCCAGAGGGATCTCAATCATGGCTTGTGCAGACACTGCTCCTAGCCAGAAGGAGTCAAGGAGAAGAGAGAAAAGCATTGTGACCTCCATTTCTCCCAACCTCTGCCTTCCGGGACAGGGAAGCTTCAGGAAGGGGAAGGGAGACTGGTTTTGCCCTGCCAGCTCCCATTGGGCTTTTCTTGCTCCTGTACCCCAAGGACAGGAAACTGCCCCAGTCCAGGGCACTGATGGTGCTTGGACTCCAGGAGGGCTAAGGAAGACTGGGCATGACCCAGAAATCTGGGTTTCAAGTGTCCAGCCAGGCCCTGCCTGGTGGGGGACTAGGAAGGGAAGAAGAGAGGGTCAGGGGTGAGAAGGTGGGCTGGGCCAGATGGTCCCTGCCAGGAGTGATTCTTTACCTTGCCTGCCTCTCCCTAACCACAGTGTTTGTGCCTTGAGCTGAGGAGGCAGCCCCTGGGCCCAGGAAGGTGGTCCAAGATCCTGAGAAAAGGGACCAGAAGAATCAATCATCTGCATCTCAGGTCTCTCACAGGGGACAGGGAGCCCCAGGAATCTCCCGAGTCCTCAACTAGAGCAGAGCTGAGGTCTGTGGCTTGCCTCCTGTTGCCTCCTCACTATTTGCAATAGATGTAAATATAACCAAGAAATCCTTTGTAAATATGGTCAATAAATCCTTTGGAAGAGCCATGTGGTGGAATGAAGCTTGTTTACTATACTGTTTGTATATATACATATATAGACATATATGTACATATGCATACATATATATACATGCATACATGTATATATACTTTTTTTTTGTGCTGGTCGTGGGGCCTGAACTCTGGGCCTGGGTGCTGTCCCTCAGCTCCAGGCTATCTTTTCCTCTGTGGGTAGCTCCAGCACTGAACGCTCTCCTTTTCTTTTCTTTTTCTTTTTTTTTGTCTGGTCGTGGGGCCTGAACTCTGGGCCTGGGTGCTGTCCCTCAGCTCTTCAGCTCAAGGCTAGCGCTCTACCACTTGAGCCACAGCACCACTTCCAGATTTTTCTGCTTATGTGGTATTGAGGAATCGAACCCAGGGCCTCATGCATGCAAGATAAGCACTCTGCCACTGAGCTATCTTCCTAGCCCCGTATATATACTTTTTTAATCTTATTTTTTTTGTGTGTTATATTTTTTAAACAATTTCTTACTATATAGCTCAGGCTGGGCTCAAGGTATCCTCCTGTCCCAGTCTCTCAAGCAGCTTGGGTAACAGGTATATACCACCATACCTGGCTAATGGCTTGTCTTAAGAATGTAAGTACTGGAGCCAGGCGCCGGTGGCTCACACTTGTAATCCTAGCCACAGAGGAGGCTGAGATCTGTGGATCACAGTTCAAAGCCAGCCTGGGCAGAAAAGTCCGTGAGACTCTTATCTCCAATTAACCACTAGAAAACCAGAAGTGGTGCTGTGGCTCTAGCGGTAGATCACTCGCCTTAAGCTGAAGAGCACAGGGACAGCTCCCAGGCCCAGAGTTCAAGCCCCACAATGGACAAAACAAACAAAACACCAAACCAAACCCAAACAAAAAAGAATGTAAGGGGGCTGGGAAGGTGGCTCAGTGGTAGAGCGCTTGCCTTGCATGCTCTGAGGCCCTGGGTTCAATTCCTCAGCACCACATAAGCAAAAAGAAAAAAGCCGGAAGTGGCGCTGTGGCTCAAGTGGTAGAGTGCTAGCCTTAAGCTGAAGAGCTGAGGGACAGCTCCCAGGCCGAGTTCAGGCCCCACGACTGGACCCCCCACCAAAAAAAAAAAATGTAAGGACTGGGAAGCTTGAAACTCAGCAACATCCAGGAGAGTTAGGAGGGGGATGAAGAACAGGACAGAGTGCATTGCTCCTGAAAAGACAGGATGCTGGGAAAGGTAACATCTCTCTGCATCTCTCTTCACCCCTTGCCTTTGAGTCCAGGCCAGAGGCAGGACCCTTGGGCTTGCAAGAGCTGGAGGTTGGTTTTTTGCATAGGCTCCTGCAGCATTCCCTTCCCAATCCTTGGTCAACTGTTAAGGGGAGGAAAGGACATTGGAAGTGACTCTGAACTCAGCTGTATTCTTGGGCCGGTCACATAGCATCTGAGTCTGATTAACCAAAGAAAGACTTCACTCTGTGGGGTTATTAAAAGGCATAATGTAGTGCCAAGTGTTGGTGTTTCACACCTATAATCCTAGCTATACAGGAGACTGAGATCCAAGGATTGCAGTTTAAAGCCAGCCAGGGAAGAAAAGTCCATGAGACTTAGCTCCAGTTAAGCAGCAAAAAGCCAGGAGTGGAAGAATGGCTCAAATGATAGAATACTTAGCCTTAAAGCTGAGCTCCAATGGCTCAAATCTGTAATCCTAGCTACTTAGGAGGCTGAGATCTGAGGATGATGGTTCAAAGTCAGTCTGGGCAGAAAAGTCCCCATGATACTTTTTTGTTTTTGTTTTGTTAGTTGTGAGGCTTGAACTCTGGGCCTGGGTGCTGTCCCTCAGCTCTTCAGCTCAAGGCCAGTGTTCCACCACTTGAGCCACAGTGCTACTTCTGGTTTTCTGGTAGTTAATTGGAGTTAAGAGTCTCCCAGCCTTTCCTGCCCAGGCTGGCTTTGAACCAAGTAGCTAGGATTATAGGTATGAGACACTGGCGCCTGGCCTGTGATACTCTTATCGCTGTTAAACCACTCAAAAACTGGAAGTAGTGCTGTGGTTCAAGCGGTAGGGCACTAGCCTTGAGCACAAAGAGGCTCAGGAACAGTGCCCAGGCCCTGAGTTCAAGCTCCATAACCATCTCCACCAACAACAACATAAAGAATACTAGCCTTGAATGAGAGTACAGGCCCGGCATTTAAGCCCTAGTACTAGCAACAACAACAAAAAAGGTATAATGTGGGGCTGGGAAGGTGGCTCAGTGGTAGAGCGCTTGCCTTGCATGCCTGAGGCCCTGGGTTCGATTCCTCTGCACCACATAAGAAAAAAGCCGGAAGTGGCACTGTGGCTCAAGTGGTAGAGCGCTAGCCTTGAGCTGAAGAGCGGAGGGACAGCACCCAGGCCCAGAGTTCAGGCCCCACGACCAGACCCAAAAAAAAAAAAAAAAAAGCATAATGCTAAACCAGCCTGTGTGTCTGGCTCTCTGGATCTGCCCTCATGGCTGGCCAACCCTAGCTTTCTCAGCTGTATGCTCCTGAAGTGTGCTTCTCTGGGTTCAGGAGGGACCTAAATCCGGGGGGGGGGGTTTGAATTGCTATTTCAAGATTAGATGCTGTGGTGGGAAAGGGGCTTCTGGCCCCCCCCCCGGTATCAATGTTTAACCGGATATGCAGGTCAATATTTACCAGCCGAGAAAGCAAGCTGAACAGGGGTTGGCTGAGAGCAAAGGTCCTGGTGGGAGGGGAGGGCCAGGCTGGATTGGCTGGAGCTGGGCAGAGAGCGTGGGGAGCACGCAAGTGGGGCCAGAGGAACATCGAGTGCTGCAGCAAGGAGTAGAGGTAAGATGGAAGGGCGGCTCAGCCTGCTCCTGGGACAGCAGAAGGGATGAGGAGCTGCTCACGTAGCTGAATTGTCTGGGATGAATTTATTTAGGCCTGTAGTTTCTCAGCCTCCTGGGGTGATGATGAGCCAATGTGGGAACTCTAAAAGGAGTCCCCTCCCCCACCTGGGGACCTGACAAACTGGAAGATTTGTTTTGTTTTTGCTAGAAAGATTCAAATGCCTAAGTTGGAGTTCAGACGGGGGCCCAGGGCCTTTGTGAGTGATGGGTGGTGGGTGTGGGTGGGTGTGGTGGGTAAAGCAGTCCTTCAGAAAAATTGGCCTTGAGATGGGCAGGGTAGAAGGTGTGTGTGTGTGTGTGTGTGTGTGTGTGTGTGTGTGTGTGTGTGTGTGTGTGTGTGTGTTTTGAGGCCAAGGCCAAGGCTAGACTAGTACTTGCCCATCCCCACACACAAGCCTGGCTTCCCTGAACAGGCCTGTGATTCCCGTAAGTCCAAAGGTGCCTAGACCAGAAGCATTCACTGGGCCCTGCAGCTAGGTCAACAAAGCAGCTCTCTGGCCATGCCATCACCCTTGCAGTGACCTTAAGGCCTCACAGTCCTGCCCACTCTATGTGTAAGACCTGACCAGCTTGAGAAAGGCTGACCAGGTTGGATGGGTGCTCTGGAGTGGCTGCCTTCCCTAGCCTGGAACTAGGCTGATAACTACCATTCACTAAGGGCATTGGGTATTGAGCATTCTGCTCAGCTTTTTTTGTTGTTGATGGTGGTGGTGGTTGTGGGCCTCAACTTTGGGCCTGAGTGCTGTCCCTGAGCTCTTCAGCTCAAGGCTAGTGCTTTACCACTTGAGCCACAGCACTACTTCTGGCGTTTTCTGCTTATGTGGTGCTGAGGAATTGAACCCAGGCCTTGTGCATGCAAGGCAAGCACTCTACCACTGAGCCACCTTCCCAGCCCTTTCTGCTCAGCTTTTAGACTGTCTTAGTTTAGCCCTCAAAATCCATGGAAGGAGGTAGGAGCCCTGCCACCATTTACAAGATAAGGCAAAGAGGAGTTAAGAGAGATGTCCAAGGGCCTCTGGCAAGAGGCAGAGCTGAGATTCAAACCAGTCTGGAAGAATGAGGGACCTCACCACTCCCTATTGACCAAAATAGCCTCAGCCCATGACATATGAAAAACCCAAGCCACAAAGTGGGGAAAGACCAGGGAAACCCCACTACTCAGGCTGAGAACAGTTGCTAATGTGTTCTGAATGTGTTACATGCTTCTACAGATTGGCCAAGTCAGTGAACGTGGGGGTAGGATTTCACCATCCAGTGTGGGAGTGGTAACTGGAAACAGCCTTCCTGTCCTGGACACAGGAACATGGCGCTGCTCCGAGGGCTCCTGGTGCTCGGCTTGTCCTGCCTGCAAGGCCCCTGCTTGGTGGTGAGGCTGGGCTCAGGAGGGCGGGGTCAGTCAAGTTGAAGAAGACACTGGTAGATGGGAGTAGGGGGTAGCAAATATTGGAGTGATCAAAGGGGCTGAGGGGAGAAAAGGTGTGGGGGGTCCAGGCTCTGAGGGGGCTCCCCTGCTAATCACCACCCTTTTCTCAGCAGTTCTCTCCTGTGAGCGCTATGGAGCCCTTGGGCCAGCAGGTACTAGGGAGTGAGGGGCATGTGGGTGGGAAGAAGAAAGCAGCGGATCTCACCTGTGGTATGGGCGGGTTGGGGGACCTATGGGAAGATCATCACTCTCCATCTGCTTCCTTCTTTCTGCAGCCAATTATGGAGCAGGGCCAGGAGAAGTTGCCATTTCCCTCACTTGCCTTCCTCAAGTCGAACAACCAGGTATAACCAGGTGGGGCTGGGGAAGAGTGGGTGAGGGCAGAAGGAGGAAGGCCAATCAGCAAGGAATGGGGGTCATGGGTGTAGGGCTGAGATTCTGGAGTTCAGAGGTAAGAATAGATAGGATAGGCTGCTGCCCTGGAACACAAGGGCTATAAAGAAGACATTTGACAGAACATGGAGCTGATCTTTTGACTTCACTGACCCCTGATCTGTCCCTATAGAAACCTGATGACCAGATTGCCCTGAAGAAGTCCTCAGCAGACTGCAAGGGTGCCCCAACTCCAGAGGAGACACGCCAGCTGGCCCAGGCCATGATGGCTTTCACCGTTGACCTATTCTCCATGGTGGCCCAAACATCCACCAGCCCCAACATCATCCTTTCACCCCTGAGTGTGGCCCTGGCATTGTCTCACTTGGCCCTAGGTACTGTGGCAGAACTGGTCCAGCAGAACTGAGGCCTGTGGGCACTCACTGTTCCAGATGTGGCTACTGATGGCTCCTCTATCAGCACCACATAGACATTAGAAAAAACACAAGTTTTTCAACCCCCACACCTGTCTTTGAGGACAGATTCCCAAGGATTGGGTCCGATGTACTTATTCACAAGTCCTTTTAGTATTATTTTTGTGTGTGTGCTGGTACTAGGCTTTGCCCTCTTGCTTAGCTTTGTGCTTAAGGCTGGGACTCTACCATTTGAGCTATAATTTCACTTTCAGGTTTTTTGCTGGCTAGCTGGAGATAAAAGTCTCATGATCGGGGCTGGGAAGGTGGCTCAGTGGTAGAGCGCTTGCCTTGCATGCTCGAGGCCCTGGGTTCGATTCCTCAGCACCACATAAGCAAAAAGAAAAAAAGCCGGAAGTGGCGCTGTGGCTCAAGTGGTAGAGCGCTAGCCTTGAGCTGAAGAGCTAAGGGACAGCGCCCAGGCCCAGAGTTCAGGCCCCACGACTGGACCCAAAAAAAAAAGTCTCATGATCTTTGCTGCCTGGGCTGACTTTAAGTCATGATCCTTAGGTCTCAGCCTTCTGAGTAGCTCGGATTATAGGCATCAGCCACCAGTGCCTGGATTCCCCTGGTGATTTGTGTAAGAGTTTGATAGCTGCAATAGCTCCCACTGGGACTTTCAGGTCTCCTACTAGACTTTGTTTTATTTTGTTTTGTTTTTTGTTTTTGGGTCCGGTCATAGGGCCTGAACTCTGGGCTTGGACGCTGACCCTCAGCTCTTCAGCTCAAGGCTAGCATTCTACCACTTGAGCCACAGCGCCACTTCCAGATTTTTTTTTCTTTTTGCTTATGTGGTGCTGAGGAATCGAACCCAGGGCCTCATGCACACAAGGCAAGCGCTCTACCACTGAGCCACCTTCCCAGCCCTCTCCTACTAGACTTAAGGGAAACAGAGGACCAGAGAGGGAAGGCAATTGGAATGGGGTGAAGAAGCACAATCTGTCGGCAGCAGAGATGAAAGTGGAACTCAGGAGAGATCATGGGGACCCCTGAGCATACTCATCATGGATATGCAAGAAGGCTGGAGTGGATCTTAGGGTGGGAAAGATCCCCTGGCCCTGGCTTTAGCCCAATTTGATCCCCTCCAGGTGCTCAGAACCAAACATTACGGAGCTTGCAACAGGTGCTACATGTAGACTCAGAGCCCTGCCTTCCCCATCTACTGAGCCACCTGTGCCAGAACCTGAGCCCTGGAACATTCCGGATGGCTGCCAGAATGTACCTACAGAAGGGTAAGCTGCTGATGACAGAGGACTGCCTAGGTAGTGCCCTGTAATGGAGAGTGGGTAAGGGAGAAAGGCTTGGTTTCAAGTAACCAGTTGGAGCATTGGTAGCTATGGAACCCAGATCCAGGGATCAGCTCAGGACACTTTGTGTGCAGGATTTCCCATCAAAGAGAATTTCCTGGAACAATCAAAACAACTGTTTGGTGCAAAGCCCATGAAACTGACGGAAAGGCAGGAAGAAGACCTGGCGAACATCAACCAATGGGTGAAAGAGGCCACAGAAGGGAAGATTGAGGATTTCCTCTCTGAGCTTCCGGAAAACACGGTGTTGCTTCTCCTCAATGCCATCCATTTTCAGGGTGCGTTCTTCTTCTCAAGTCCCCCACCCTGGTGATGCTAGCCCCACCCTGTAGGCTGAGTGGGACCCTGTCTCTCTTCTTCAGGCTGGGTCATGAGGCGGGGGGGGGGGAGGGGTGTACATGTGATGGGAAGGTGCTCAGGAACTTCGCGAGGTTGTTGAAAACAAAATAGCCTGGAACAAAGTTAGGGGATGCAGATGAATTCTAGTATTTGAACCATAATTCCACTTTCAGGTTTTTGCTGGCTAACTGGAGATAAAAGTCTCATGATCTTTGCTGCCTGGGCTGGCTTTAAGTCATGATCCTTGGGTCTCAGTCTTCTGAGTAGCTGGGTGAGCCACCAGTGCTTGGCTTCCCCTGGTGATTTTTGTGCAAGAGTTTGATAGCTGCAATAGCTCCCACTGGGACTTGCGGGTCTCCAACTAGGAGCATTGCAGCAGATAGGGAAAACACAAGCCCAGGTTTCCAAAATGTTTCAAGGAGGAGGCAGGTGGTACAACACCCCCTGGGTGTTTGGCTTTACCTCTTCATGCCTTGAGGGAGTTCTGGGTGGGATGGGAAAGAGGCTGGTCTCAGTTTTCATGGCTCCTGTTCTCTTCTGGCTATAGGTTTCTGGAAGAGCAAATTTGATCCAAGCTTTACTGAGAGAGACTCCTTCCACCTGGATGAGAAGTTCACAGTGCCAGTAGACATGATGCAAGCACACTCGTACCCTCTACGCTGGTTCCTGCTAGAACAGCCTGAGATACAGGTTATCCTGGGTTGCCCAGCACTCCAGGCCTGGATGCTGGGGGGAGGGGGAGGGAGAGAGAGGACAATCTGTGGAGAAGCCACAGGGGTAAAGGAGAGGGTGCCCACCTTCCCTGCAGTTCTGAGGTGCCAGACTCAGTCTCCATAGGTTCATTCACTCAAAGACAGTATTCTGGGCTGTGCACTCAGTATGCTGTGTGCCAGGTACTGTCTGAGGCACTGGGAATTAGGTGGACCACAAGGGAGAGAATGCCCTGGTCTTAGAAGGGAAGGTATACAGTATCACAGTCATTTCAGTCAGGAGTGTCATGAAAGGGGAAAAAAAGTGACCTCTTAATGACTGGGTCTGGAAGAATTCTTTGAAGAAGGGGCACTGAGTTGAGACCAGACAGCACAGGAACCACCCTGGAAGCTATGCAGCCACTCAGGGTCTCAGCCTGGAAGATGTGACCTGAGCTCTCATACAGAGCTTCTTAGAAGGGAGGATCCCATTGGGTTGAATTTCTCCGCATTCTGCATGGAACATTGTGATTGGATGGAGTTCTATGCCAACCTGTCTCAGGTACGACCCCATGACTTCCCTTGCTAAGTGTGGTCCTGTTAGGCTGGGACACTGCTCCCTGGGCCAATCAGTAGTGGCTGAGATAGTAGTGTTGGTTAGGTTTGCAAGGCAAGCATGACAGAGCACAGTCACATCTGCAGACAGAAGCCACTTGGATAGCCAGACTTCTCTCCAGCTCATCCTGAAAGGAGAACTGGTCCACTTTCCCACAGGTTCCTTTCTTGCTACTCTCTTCTTGTCCTGCACACTCTTCCTTCTTCCTTTGTCTCCATTTCTCCATCCTTCTCAGGTATTCTGCAGGCAGGCCCAAGTAGCTGACTTTGCTTCAGGAGTGCCTTCAAATGAGATCTTATGCGGGCTGGGAATGTGGCTCAGTGGTAGAGTGCTTGCCTAGCATGCATAAAGCCATGGATTCCATTCCTCAGTACCACATAAACAGAAAAAGCCAGAAGATGTACTGTGGCTCAAGTGGTAGAGTGCTAGCCTTGAGCAAAAGAAGCCCAGGCCCTGGGTTCAAGCCCCAAGAAGGGCAAAAAAAAAGTAAAGAAATGCGATCTTATGATCTAAGTATGGTCCTTCATGGCTACAATCCCAGCACTTGGGGGGTTAAGGCAGGAGAATCTGTAGTTCAAGACCATCCTGAGCCATATAGTGTGTTCAAGGCCAGCTGGGGGTAAGGGTACCTAACAAGACCCCATGTTTAAACAACAACAACAACTCAATTTCAAATCTCAGATATGTGAGAGCGGGCAGAGTCACTAAGAGAAGGTGAGAGGGGGTGGAGTGGGTACTGTGCTTTGCAGTAACTCCTCCATTGAACTCCAGAGAAATCTGGGAAGTGACGACCCCACCCATTATACACAAGGAGAACTGAGAGGAAGATAGGTGGCTCCTTTACCTATTTGCACAGCTAGCTGGGAGCAGATGAGAGAGATATCCACTATTTACTGAGCACGGCTTTTGATGAGTACAGGACTTCCCCCGCCCCCGCCCCCCCTTCTGGCCTTTTCTGTGTATGTGGCACTGAGAAATCGAACCTAGGGCTTCATGCATGCTAGGCAAGCACTCTACCACTAGGCCATATTCCCAGCCCAAGCATGGCTTTTGAGTGCAGATACTGCTGCATACTTTAAAAAGCTTTATCTCATTCAAACACCAACCTGCACTAGGGAGGTATTATGCAGCTTCACAGGTGAAGTGAAGGCTCAGCAACACAACTGATCATGGTGAACTTGATTCCTACTCGGCTGAGAAATACAGAAGCGCAGATCCAGCTAGGACTGTGTGCTTTCTGGTTCTCATATTCTCTTTCCTTTATCTGTAGGTGGCTCATTTCCCCTTTAAGAACAACATGAGCTTTGTGGTCATGGTGCCCACTCATTTTGAGTGGAACGTGTCCCAGGTACTGGCCAACCTGAGCTGGGACACCCTGAACCAGCCCTCACTACGAGAGAAGCCCACTAAAGTGCGGCTGCCGAAGCTGCACCTGAAACACCAGCTAGATCTGGTGGCTACCCTCGGCCAGCTGGGTAAGGAGGATGGTGGGTCAGCCCTGGGTGGGGCTGGGAAAGGTGGATGAGGAGAGGCCTCCAGCTGATAGCAGGTCTGAGTCAGAGATATCCCTTTGTCCTGAATAAGGAGGTTTGGTATGATCCCCTGTTCTTGGGTGAGCTGAATCACCCAAGACTGTCAACTGACTCTGCTGCCCAAGACTTGAATACTCCAAGGAATACTAGGTCTAGAGCCCATGATGGCATGTGAACCTCCTGGCTCCTGAAAGGGGAAGGAGGAGAAAATGGGGTGTCACATTGTTAAAGAGATGCATTTACTGAATGTGGTAGTATATGCCTATAAGCCCAGATACAAGAGGCAAAGATAGCCAGGGACACATGGCTCACCCCTATAATCTTAGCTACTCAGGAGGCTGAGATCTGAGGATCATAGTTTGAAACCAGCTCAGGTTGAAATCCTCTGTGAGTGAGACTTTTTTTTTTTTGTCAGTCGTGAGGCTTGAATTCTGGGCCTGGGCACTGTCCCTCAAAGCGAGCACTCTACCACTTCAGCCACAGCACCACTTACAGTTTTCTGATGGTTAATTGGAGATAAGAATCTCACAGACTTTCCTGCCTGGGCTGGCTTTGAACCACAATCCTCAGATCTCAGCCTCCTGAGTAGCTAAGATTACAGGCGTGAGCCACCAGAGCCCAGCTCTGTGAGACTTTTTTTTTTTTTTTTTTTTCCTCAGATCTCAGCCTCCTGAGTAGCTAAGATTACAGGCGTGAGCCACCAGAGCCCAGCTCTGTGAGACTTTTTTTTTTTTTTTTTTGTCAGTCATGGGGATTGAACTCTGAGCCTGAGTGCTATCCCTCAGCTCTTCAGCCCAAGGCTAGTGCTCTACCACTTGAGCTACAGCACCACATCCTGTTTTCTGGTGGTTTATTGGAGATAAGAGTTTCACAGACTTTCTTGCCCTGCCTGGCTTTGAACCATGATCCTTAGATCTCAGTCTCCTGACTAGCTAGAATTATAGGCATGAGCAACCGGCGCCCGGCTCTGTGAGACTCTTATCTCTAATTAACCACCAGAAAACTGGATGTGGTGCTGTGGCTGAAGTGGTAAGTGCTAGCCTTGAGCAAAAGAGCTTAGGGACAGTGCCCAGGCCCTGAGTTCAAGCTCTAAGGTTGGCCCCTTCCACACACACACCAAAAAAAGAGGCAAAGGAAAGAGTACTGTAATCTGAAGCTAGCCTAGGCAAAAAGCCTAAGACCTTATCTGGAAAATAACTAAAGCAAAAAAGGACATGGTTCAATGGTGGTGTGCTTGTCTAGCAAGTGAAAAGCCCTGAGTTTTAAAACCTAGTATGGAAAAAAAAAGAGATACATTTACTTGTCAGCTTTGCAAAGCAATTTCTATATTCTACGTACTATATAGGCACTAGCAGCCAGCTGTATGCAAAGTAATCATTTAATGGAATAGACAAGTGAGAAATCAGGCATTTACAATCTAGCATAAGTGATAAGACAGAAGGTGTCTCTCCAGCTCACTTCAGAGAATATTGAACAGGTATTGGATCCAAATCTGACCTCAGACTTTTAGGCTGGGATCTGGGAAGGCTTCCTAAAGGAAGCAATGTTTCTTTTTGTTTGTTTTTTGTGGGTTTTTTTTTTGCCAGTCCTGGGACTTGAACTTAGGGCCTGGGTGCTGTCCCTGAGCTTCTTTTGCTCACCGCTGGCACCCTACCACTTGAGCCACAACACCATTTCTGGCTTTTTCTGTTTATGTGGTACTGAAGAATGGAATCCAGGGCTTCATGCATGCTAGGCAAGCACTCTACCACTAAGTCACATTCCCAGCCCATAAAGAAGCAATGTTTAAGTGGAGATTTGAAGGTTAAGCAGATGAGAATTTAAGATGTTCCCTGGCCAGGGTACCAGCTAGGTCCTGGGAGCCTGGGGGCAGAGGGCGGCACTAATCAACCATCTGCTGCTCTGGGCAGGCCTGCATGAGCTGTTCCAGGCCCCAGACCTACGTGGGATCTCTGATGAGAGGCTGGTGGTATCCAGTGTCCAGCACCAGTCCACCCTGGAGCTCAGCGAGGCTGGCGTGGAGGCAGCTGCAGCCACCAGCACTGCTATGTCCCGCATGTCACTCTCTTCCTTCAATGTGAACCGCCCCTTCCTCTTCTTCATCATGGAGGATACCACAGGCCTGCCCCTCTTTGTGGGCAGCGTGAGGAACCCCAACCCTAGTGCACAGCCCCAGCTCCAGGAGCAGCAAGATTCCCCTGATGACAGAAACTTAATCCAGAACCAGAAAGCCTTCCTCCATGGAGACAAGTTCTTTGACCCTGATTTGAAACTTGTGCCGCCCTCGGAGGAGGATTACCCCCAGTTTAGCCACCCCAAGTGAGGAACACCAGTACCAGCATCCTAAGTCCCCACCTGGACCAGCATCTCAACTCATGTGACTTTTTCCAACCAGCTTTGTGGGAGCAGGGTGGGGCCCAGGGGTAGTCTGTGAGAGGAGAGGCGCTATTCTCTTCCAGTTCCTTCTGGGGGCTTGGGGGCTGGGAGGAGGCCAGGTATGGGAATCATGGGCCAGATTCCTTTTCATTTCTCCCCAAGGGGCTCAGAAGGTGTTCTATTTGGGGTGGGGTGATAGAGCATCTATGGATTCTGCTCCAGCAGGAAGTAGGCTAGATTCATACCCAAGTCAGCAGATGAGACACCTCTACATTTATAAGCACAAGAGGAGCAGGCTGCCTTGGGACATGTCTGAGAACACCCTGGCTAAAGACAGGAAAGAAATGTTAGGGGTGACTCGGAAGGCAGTGTTGCCATAGGATTGGATACCAAGGACCAGCTTCTGCCCTTCATGGAGCCCCATGTTCTCTCATAGTCTGACATGGATGCAGCTTGCTTAAGGCCTCCAGCTACTAGCCCACCCCTTATGCCTCCCCAGATGCCAACACTGCCAGGATCCCCTGCCTTCCTCTCTTGTGTTCCTCTTCTGCCAGTAGCTCAGGGGCTGAGGGAGGGAAGGCGCCCTGTTAGCTCCTTACAGCTCTTTTGTAAAGTTTTTGTAGTGATTTTTATGCCACCTGAATAAAGAATGAATGGGCCCTGTTGGTTTGATGTCACTGTTCCGGGCATGGGCGGGGGAAGCGGGGAAGCAGAGAGGCAGCCACAGAACAGACAGTACTGAGCTCTTGCTGTGCCACGTTTGGTCTCTGGCCACATGCCAGCCCTCTCTAGGGCCACCTCCATGCCAGCCTGGCTCTGCTGTCTGCCTGGCCTTTGCTAGGTGCCTCAGGCAGCCAGTAACAAGGGCTGCTCAGAATAGCGCCAGTCTCCCAGTTTGGGGGAAGAACTGGCAATTAGGGAGCCTGGAGTTTCTAATTACACACAGAACACCCCCTACCCTCCCGCTGGGAGCTGGCGCCTGTCAGCCGGAGGGGCAAGCTAGCAGCTGGAGGCTTTCAGTGTCTGGGGATCTGATGGATGCTATTGGGGGTATCTTGGCATGGAGCTGACAATTTCTTCTTCAAGAGCCTATGAGCTGGGGGTAGTGTGGGTGTCCCTGTGGTGAGAAGTGTCATGGCTGGCTGTGGTGGCCCTTGTCTCTGAGTGCAGTGACTATGTGGACCCGCCTGGAAAGAGAAGCAGGTGACAGATTTGGAAGAGATGGCCTCCAGGAGAAGGTGACATGAGAGCAGGAGACTGAAGCTGGTGAGGGACAGCTGCCCAACAGGGAGCTAGTTAGTGCAAAGGTCCTGAGCTAGGAGCATGCACACAAGTTCAAGGTGAGATGGTAGTCTGCAAGGCAGGAGCAGTAAAGGAGGAGGGAGTCAGTTCTGGGACAGATCGTGGAAGGCTCTAGGGTCATGATGAAGATTGTGGGAGGAATAAGAAGTCACAGGAAGATTTAATTCTCAGTACCACCCCCACCACCAAAAAAAAAAGTCACTGGAAGGTCAACTCACCCAGTCAACTTTGTTCATTTTGCTTCTCTTATCTTTCTTTCCCTTTCTTTCCATTTCTACTCTCAGATCCCAGGTCAGGGTCTGGTTGTCACTTCTGTGGGTCATTGCTATCCCCTCGTGGTCTCTCTTGGCTACTGGGTTGGCTTCCTTAATTGCATTTTCTGCCTTGTGGATCCTCACTGAGCACCTTCTATGTGCCCAGCAGCACACTGGTCTCTGGGGATGCAGAAGCAACTAAGCAGACAAGATCTCTGTTCTCCAGGAAAGCCCAAGTAGTAATAGAGTGATGTAGATAATAAATAAAAAACACAAATCACAGGTGGGGTGCCAGTGGCTCATACCTGTAATCCTAGCTATTCAAGAGACTGAGATCTGAGGATCACAGTTGGAAGCCAGCCCAGGCAATAAAGTCTGTGAGATTCTTATCTCTAATTAACTATTCAGGGAAAGCCAGAAGTGGCTCTGTGACTCCAGTGGTAGAGTGCTAGCCTTGAGCACAAAGAGGCTTAGGGACAGCGCCCAGGCCTTGAGTTCAATCCCCAGGACTGGCAAAACAACAACAAAAGCCCCACCAAAAACAAGTCATGGTTGGATTTTTGTAGCCTGAACTGTGCATCAGACCACAGAACAGTTCCTTATTGCCTGGCTTCTGAGAGAGAAAACAAAAGCAAAGCAAGAAGCAGTAAACAGAATGATCTGAAATGTCAGAAGAGGAATTCTCCAGGTTTGGTGATACTATGTAACTATGGGAAGTCTTGTGTGGTTTTAGAGATTAATGGCAGAGCCTCAAGCAGACTAGACAAGTGCTATACCACTAGACAAGAGCTACATCCCAGTCCTGAGAAGTCCTCAGGTGGTATTTGAGCTTTTTTTCTTTTTTGGTGTTTGTACTAGGGCTTGAACTCAGGGCCTTGACTCTTGTTTACTTTTCTTGCTCATGACTGTCACTCTGTAGACATGTCTCCAGTTCTAGGTTGTTTTTGTTTTTTGTTGTTTTTGCTGGTTAACTGGAGATGAGAGTCTCTCAGATTTGTTTACTTAGGCTGGCTCTAAACCATGATCCTTAGATCTCAGACTCCTGAATAGGTAAGATCATAGGTGTGTGGCCACTCATGCCTGGCAAGCTGAGAGTAGGTATCTTCCACAATGAGGTATCTAAGGCTGGCTTCAAACAACCAATCCTCCTGCCCCAGCCTCTGGAGTGCTAGGGTTATAGGTGTGTCATCACCCCTGGCTTTGAGCTCAGGGTCTGAGCACTGTCCATGAACTTTTTGCTCAAGGCTGGCACTCTACCACTTGAGCCACAGCTCATTTAATGGCTTTTTGGTGACTAATTAGAACTAAGAGTCTCACAGGCTGGCTTCAAATCATGATCCTTAGATCTCAGCATCCTGAGTAGCTAGGATTAGAGGCGTCAGCCACTAGTGCTTGGCTTACTTCCAGCTTTTTGGTGGTTAATTGGAGATAAGAGTCTTATGGGCTTTCCTACCCTGGCTAGCTTTGAACCACTATTCTCAGATCTTGGCCTCCTGAGTAGCTAGGATTACAAGCATGAATCACCGGCACCTGGCTGTAAAGAGCTAATTGGGTTTTTTTTGGGTCCGGTCGTGGGGCCTGAACTCTGGGCCTGGGCACTGTCCCTCAGCTCTTTAGCTCAAGGCTAGCTAGCGCTCTACCACAGAGCCTCTTCTGGCTTTTTTCTTTTTGCTTATGTGGTGCTGAGGAATAGAACCCAGGGCCTCATGCACGCAAGGCAAACGCTCTACCACTGAGCCACCTTCCCAGCCCCGTAAAGAGCTAATTGTAAGAAAAAGAAAAATCCAAGCCAGAGCTCCAGGTTTTGAGTTCAAGTCATGGTACCAACACATTATACACACACACACACACTCACACACTCACACACACACACACACACACACACACACACACACACCCTAGTTGATAAGTCACTTGGCTGTTAGTCTGCTGTGATTCCTCGCTTCCAAGATGGCTTCCAAGTGACTTCAGGAGAGAATGGTTAATAGCAGGCAAAGGATACAGATAAAAATGGAGCACCTGCCAGGCATTGGTTGCTCATTCCTATAATCCTGGCTATTTAGAAGTCTAAGATCTGAGAATCTTGATCCAAAGCTAGCCAAACAAATCTGGGAGACTCCTCTTAATTAACCAGAAGGAAGCTGGAAGTAGAAAGTGGAAAGAAGTAGAAGTGTGGTTCAAATGATAGAGTACCAGCTGTGAGCAGGAAGAGCTCTTGATTGAGGTCCTGAGTTCAAACCCCAGTACCTGAGTCTAAGCTCTTCTACTTACACACACAAAAATGGGGGACTCTGGGATGCCTTGTTCTGAACTTGCTCCTGGTAAACTCATGAGCCTAGTGAGATCTTTTAAGTGCCTATTATACTACTAGTACCTCTCATCCCTGGCTGGCTACCTTGCTGGAAATCCCAACAAGCAGTTATGACAGCTAAGAAGATGTGATGGAGGAGGAGAGTTATGTGAATATGAGGGTCTTGTGAATCTGGGGTGGAAAGGCAGCAATGGGTTAAAATTAACCCCAGACAATGATGCAATCAGAGAATTCAAATTGAGTGCAGGTCGCTTTAAGAAAGGAATAGCTGTAATCTGAAGCCTGCTGGAGGCTGAGTTTGGGAGGCAGTAACCACAGCTCCAGAGCTTGCTTGCTGGAGCCCCCTTCTGTGTGCAAGCTGAGGCACCCAGGCTGGAAGTGGAGCTGTCACAAACCACAGGTAAAGCAGCTCCAGGGTTTGCATGTCAGGGGAAGATGGGAAGACTAGAAAGCTCCCTCTGGGCTGGAGGGGGGACTTGGGAGAAGCAGGGGTGCCCCAGGAAGCAGAAAAGAGGAGCGACAGGGGGAGAAAGAGGTGGGAGACATATTAGTGTCTGCAGTTTGGCCATCAGGCTGAATGGGTGAAAGAAGGTAGAGGAAGTGGGCAAACAAAGATCAGGACCCAATTACCCCCAACCCCACTGGAAAGATTTCTGAATAAAGTGAGTGGGAAGCAAAAATAGAGGAGGGTTGGGGGGGAGGCACAGAGCTAAGCCCTGGGTCAGGTCTGAGTAGCAGCCTAAAAAGGCTGTACCCCTAGGAAAAGGACAATCTCAGGGAGGTGCTTCCAGTGGGGGAAGTCTGGAAGGTGATCATCTGGTAGCTCAGCTTTGCCTTCCACTCAACTTGCTGCTACTTTTTCCAAAATCAACTGGTGCTAACTTCAGAGATCTCATTTCCCAGCAGCACTAAGCTAGTGCCTGCTGAGTCCTGCCTGAGGGCAGGGATGGGGCAACAGCTGTGTCCTTAGCCCCCACCCTTTCTCTGTGGCCAAAAGAGCAAAAAGCAAAAGTAAGAGACAGATGAGGTCACGGCCCCATGCAAACAATGACCACTATTTAGCCTTGTTTGTGTGTGTGCAGTTCAGGGGGCTTGGCATTCCCTGAAGCATACCACAGCAGGGAGGTGACTTGAGCTAAAAAGAAGCTTCAGGCTCCCCCAAACTCACTATGGCTGTCCACCAGAGTTAACTCCCAACACAGAGTGAATGGAGACCAGGGAGTTCTGGTCCTAGCACTGGTTCCTATGGTAGTGTGAAGAGATGGATTTCTGGGCACCATGGATTGATTCACTTGAGGTTCCTGGGGGCTGGTGGTTATCAGCTTGGGTAGACCAGAGAAGACCCTTGGAAACTACTAGAGCCTGCCAAGAGGGAGGTGCCCTTTTCCTGCATGGTCCACAATGTCTTAGTGCCATGTGGCTTGAAGACTATGTGGTTCTGGGAGGAGGAGAAGGAGGAGCCATGGTGTTTGTCTCACAACTGAATTTAATCTGAAACACATGTGTTGGCTTAACTTGATTCTCCCAGCATCCCAGTTCCTGTGCCTCTTGGATTGTAATGGAAAGAAAGACTGACCTTGGTCCAGTGGGGGAGAATCTATCTCCTCCTGGTGTCCTCCCCCACGTAGGAGGCCAGGAGCCTGGTTCAGATACTGCCCTTTGGCCAGAATGGCAACATTGGCCTGTGCCCATGGCCAGGACAATGGTTTCTTGCAAAAGCTCACAGACCAATCATCTTGCACAGGGCATTACAGATGCTTTGAGGGGCCTCCACTGCAGACCTTTACTCCATCCTTTTACTACCACGCGTCCACTTCTTTTATCCCTATGGCTCGAAGTGGAGAATTAATTCAAAGTCATGCCATTAGTACAACCCATCCCTGCTCTGGACCAGCTCTGTCCCCCTGGCCCTTTCCCTTCCAGGGTCCCTCACTTCATCTTCAGTCCTCAGCCTACTCCTGTGGTGACAATGAAGAGTAACATGATCTGGGGGCTCAAAAGGATTAAAGAAGGCCCTACCTTCAAGTGCATCTGAATTGTCTCCTTAAATACTATGCCTACTGTCCTGTCTCCTTTCTTCTCTCAATATCCTACTGCAATGACCTGAGAGCAGAGCTGATGGATAGCTCACTAGCCTTGCCTTCTATTTGTCTTACTTATTTTCAGTCTCCAACAAACCAGTCTCTGGAGGCTCAAGCAAGGAAGGCTCCAGACAGCTCTGGGCAGGGCTGGCTGGCAGAGAGCAGAGAGTGCTGGAAGCCTGATGATGTTTTTGGTTTGTCTAACACTACTGAAAGCTTTTTCTCTCCTTTCACCAGCCATGGGGCCAATAAGAACACAGGGGTGAGCTGGGCACCAGTCACTCATGCCTGTAATCCTAGCTACTCAGGAGGCTCATGAGATCTCTGGATCAAAGCTGGTTCAAAGCTAGTCCAGGCCAAAAAGTCTGTGAGACCATTTTTATGTATATATTTATTATAAAGATACTGTATAGAGGGGTTACAGTTACATGAGTAAGGTAATGAGTATATTTCCTATTGAGCATTGTTACCTCTCCTTTGTTTTTCCCCTACTATCCCTTCCTCTGAGAGACTCTTTTTTTTTGGTTGGTTGAGGGGCTTGAACTCTGGGCTTGGGTGTTGTCCCTGCGCTCTTCGGCTCAAGGCAAGCACTCTACTGCTTGAGCCACAGTGCTACTTCTGGTTTTCTAGTGATTTATTGGAGATAAGAGTCTCTCGGACTTTTCTGCCCAGGCTGGCTTTGAACTGTGATCCTCAGATCTCAGCCTCCTGAGTAGCTAGGATTATAGGCGGGAGCCACCGGCGCCTGGCCTCTCTGAGAGACTCTTACCTGTGATGAACTATCAGAAAACCGAAGTGGTACTATGGCTCAAAGTGGTAGAGCACTAGCCTTGAGTGAAAAAGCATAGGGACATTGCCCAGGCCTTGAGTTCAAGCCTCACCACCACCACTAAAAAAGAACACAGGGAGTCCATGGAACTCCAGAGATCAACTGGAGATGAGGGTATAGAAAGAGAGCAGGACTGGTTTCTGCTGGCAGTCCTCCCTTAAACTGAGCAAGGTAAAATCTTCCCTTTTATGTACTACAGTGTTGTCCAGGGGATTATCAGACTTCATCTTAAGGACTCCAGCCAATAATCACACACTATAATCCTTACTTTTCTGGGAGTCAGAAGAGTTAGTGGTGGTGGTGGTGGTAGTGTATGTGTGTGTGTGTGTGTGTTACAAGTTAGAGGCAGCAGACCATGGAACAAAGTCTGGGTAGTTGAAGATTTATTCTGACTTTGTAACTAGAAGGCCTCAGGGAAGATCTTACCTGTGACCCACAAATTTCCCTTTTCCCTCACCCCTGGATTCTGACTCCAAAGAGAGCACAGGTAAATGCAGGAAGATGAGGTGACTACAGAAGAATTTAGAGCCCTAGATCCAGATTTTCAAGGTTTCTCTGGGGTCCAGGGGCCAGACCAGAGGTAGAGCAGAGGTGCCACTGATGGGGAAGTTACTGGACTTGTGAGGTCTTGCTAAGAAGTAGGGTGATTAAATTGAAAGATAGAAGGCTTTGGGGTTTAAGAACTACTTTTGAGCTGGGAGGGAAAATACCATATAGAGCAAATAGAAGCAGGACCATGATTTTGGTTAAAGGGTACATATTTGGTCCTGGGCTCATTTGAGGGCTTATCCATCTCTGGCATTGTTGTTTTATTTTTTTTTTCCGGTCAGTCATGGGACTTGAACTCAGGGCCTGGGTGTTGTCCTGAGCTTTTTGCTCAAGTCTAGCACTCTACCACTTTAAGCCACAGTACTTCTGTTTTTCTGATAGTTATTTGATGATAAGAATATCATGGGGGCTGGGAAAGTAGCTCAGTGGTAGAGCACTTGCCTTGCATGCATGAGGACCTGGGTTCAATTCCTCAGCACTACATAAACAGAAAAAAAAGCCGGAAGTGGCACTGTGGCTCAAGTGGCAGAGCGCTAGCCTTGAGCTGAAGAGCTGAGGGACAGTGCCCATGCCCAGAGTTCAGGCC